GTGTGTGTGTGTGTGTGTGTGTGTGTGTGTGTGTGTGTGTGTGTGTGTGTGTGTGTTTGTGTTCACTTCTCCACCACCAAAAAAAAGCATGGTTGTGCCAGAGTGTGTTGTCACGAGGTTGAACCCCGACAGTCTGCCAAGGATGCATTTGACTGATGGATAAGGACAAAGCACATCGCTCAGTGTTAGCAATGTCCCTGAGAAAAGTGGTTGACTTTACTCACACCAACCCTACAATCCTAATGCATGTGTGTGTGTGTGTGTGTGTGTGTGCCTGTGTGGTTGCTGAATATAAGGGCCTCACTCCACCACTCACCAAACTCAATTTCCCCGTGGTGAGTACTCACCACGGGACTTTTCACACCAATACCTGGGCCGCTCCACCACTCACCACGGGAATTCACTCACCAAACTGCAAGACAAGGGCGGGGCTGGTTGAGACCAGCCCCAGCCTTATCTTGTAGCATGGTGAGCGAAGCACTTTTGGTGAGAGGCGGAGAGGTCCCACCAGAATCCCGCCATTGTAGGCAGGGAGAACCAGCGCTGTGGCGAGTACTCACCACAGGCCACTCACCACGGCAAAACAAAGCTCTTCAGACACTCTCACCATGGTGAGTGGTGGAGCGGTGAGGCCACTCGCCAAAACGGCCTTGTAGTGAGTGGTGGAGCGAGGCCCTAACTCCACGGAAGGAGGGGGTACTAATGTATATGCAATGTTTATGCATGCATGTGTGTGTGACAGCCTCTTTTCTTGGAGTTTCACAACTCATCAGAGGTTGAACCCAGACCCAGGATGCATTTGAGTGATGGATACGGATTAAGTGGGCATGGTGGGAGAGTGGGTAACGGAGTTTCATGCATTTGAGTGATGGATAAGGATCAAGGGGGCATGGTGGGAGAGTGGGTAATGGGGTTTCATGACGTTGCCATCGCCGCACAGCCTCATGATATTCTTACGGAAGTTGATAGGTGTCAGAAAAGTGTCTCATCTCCAGCCTGCAACTACAAAGCTTTAAGAAGCCCGTCGCCTCGATGGTGATGGAATCTCTGAATTCCAAAAGTAGGCCTGAGGCTGCGAGGGGCAAACTGTTGCGCTCTTCTCTGGGCAATTTGTATTTTTCCAGCCAGCTTCAATGAGTTGGCCCATTCGAGAGTACTGTGTGGTGAAGGGGCCTAAACTCACAAAATTTGAATGCTCGAAAACGTCTTGAAAGTTCCTTACCATTTTGAGAATGGCATGGCGATCCACTAGGTCTCATACAATGGGAAATTGGTCAACTTTCCAATGTAACCTGTTTAAATATGCTCGACTGCTAGCTTTCCCGGGGCACCCGGGGCACCCGGCTGGGCAGGGACCACACCCGGGGTATCCCGGGCATACCAAAAAGCCCACTGAGTTTGTTTTTTTCTTTTTTCTTTTTTTGCTGCCAGACCTTGCTGCACTTCCGGAGTAGTGCCCAAATCCGGCCTCTTTTTTTTTTTTCATGCATGGCGATTTTTGTGTGTTGGGGGGGGGAGGGCGTGCAGGAGGGGTCTGGATTATCGACTGCCCGTTGGCTTGGGGGGTGTCCATTTGCGTGTTGGGGGATACAGCAGCTGCTGTGTCCCGCCTGTGCTGGAGCACCACATCAGAGGGAGGAGGGGAGAAACGCCACGTCAGAGGAGGGAGAGAGGACCGAGGAGCGCCGCGTCAGAGCAGGGAGAGAGGAGGGAGAAGGGAAGAGGGAGGGGGCAAGGTGATGCAGAGGACGGGAGGAGGGAGGAGCACCACGTCAGAGGAGGGAGGAGGAGGGAGGAGGAGGAGGGAGGAGGGAGGAGGAGGGRGGAGSGAGGAGGAGGGAGGAGGGAGGAGGGAGGAGGAGGAGGAAGAAGAAGAAGAAGAAGAAGAAGAAGAAGAAGAATACAAGGTAATAGCAAACAAATATTTTTGTTCCATGGAGGGTAAAGATGCAAACCTTTACCAAACACCGTACAATAAACACGCATGATCCTCGACGGATTTCGACTCGGTGCGTGTCCAAGTCTCTTCAGGAGGCCATCCACCACCCTAACTCATGTAGGAGCACAGCTCCTCTTCCATCCTTATAGCTGAACATGCAAATTCAAATCGCCTTCCCTCGCTTTCCCCTTTCCCTCACCTTCCTCTTCCCTACCCCGCACCTTCCTGGTACGCCGTGTTCCCTGTCAACCTGGTCTCCAATCAATCCGAGGGTGCCCCTACTCCCCATGCACATTCTCAAAACTTTGGCAGGAGCACGCACAAGCACACAGCATATCATCACCGATTTGACACGCATAGGACTCGTACAACAAACGAGGACCCGTACCACAAAACTTAGAGGAGGAAATCTATCGCGCCCTCGACATATATTCGCTGGCCTGGACCTTGTGGTGGAAACCATCGGATGGGGCGGATTGCTTCAGTTCCTACATTCAGATGAGACCACCATCGATCCTTCACCCTATCTTTTATATTCACTTTTGGGCCCAGCAGCCGATAGGTAGCTTTCACTGTTAAGGTATGCAGCTTCATATTCTCCCCGGTCCTGCGTTTTTGTGGGGGGGACCACTGCCACTCCTCGGGATTTATTGGAAGCTCAACCACGGGAGTGTCTGGCTGATATGCGATCCACACGTCTTTGTCTTGTAACACCCGGATCCTGTGCAGGTCCGAGTTTCTCCACTATCTCACCAGGTTTGGGGCGTATCGGGTGAGCACATTGTCCTTACCAATGTGGAAGAGAGCGGTCAGGGCTTCATCCGCGCGCACCTCTATCACATTACCGACACTCTCCGGATCGCCTGGGGCTGCAACCCAGTCCCCTTCTGCCAGCCACGACACTTTGCGCAGGATGTGGACCCAATCTAGGGGGATGGCAAAAATCAAGGTTTCGAGATGCTCTTCCACGTTGTGGCAATACTTCAGTGCGGTCCTTAATTGCTGCGCAGGTTTCCAGTCTCCCGCTTGTGTGTCCCATATATCTTTTGTTCTGGTTACACCTTTTTTAACCCAGCTGTTCCACGGGGTGCTTGAACTGCAGTACACTCTGCTGTCCCGATCCGTTATTTGTCTGTTCCCAAAGAGGGGTTGGCGTGCCACCTCGTCCCACCTGGTTGGCGGGACTTTGTTGGGTAGTGGAAGTTGTCGCCAGGCATGCAGTATTGGGGTCCAAAAGTCGTCCCTGACCAGATTTGAGCGGGTTGTGTCATGGCCCGGAGCTTGCCCGTTTCGACGGGACCGTGGTATTGTCCAGTGAAGGTCTTCCAACCAGGTTAGTGGGTTAATTCCCTGCGGTGCCTCCGGGGCAAGCCTCGCTATTTATTCGAACGCGAGGGCGTGCCATGGGAGGTGTTGAGTGAAGAGCAGTCTCCTGATCCATTGAATTGTTAATGCCTTGATCTGGGTATCCGGGTCTAGGATCCCCATGCCCCCTTTGTCTTTAGGTTGAATCACCGAAAGCCAGGCTACCCTGCTGATGACATTTGGAAGTTCACAGTTGCCTCTCCATAATAGGGCTGTTACCTGTCGCTTTAGTGCTCGAACGGCCTCCTTGCTGAGAGCCCAAATTGCAGATTTATACCAGAGGGCTGCCAGTATCACGCTGTTGATCGCTAGTGCCCTGCCAATAAAAGAGTTATTACGGTCATTCCAGTGGGCTAACTTCTCTAGAGCGGGCTTTAGAATCCACTCGTCATTCGATGCGGGCTTGCCTAGTGTCACTCGTCATTCGATGCGGGCTTGCCTAGTGTTGTTAGCATGATTTCCAGCACCCTGACCGGGGCCGATTCTGGGAGCCATTTGACCTGCGGGAGTTCGGGGGGGCGCGCCCCTTGATGGTGAATCCACCATCCCAGGGTTTTATTACCCCAGTTGACCGTCATGTCTGAGACTGTTGTAAACCGGTCGAACAATCGCCTGATCTCTTCCATGTTTGCTGCTGTTGCGTCAACCATGAGTGTCAGATCATCCGCAAACATCGAACAGATCGGGATTGCTTCTTCTAGGATGGCAGAGATCTGCAACTTCCTCAGGTCTTTGTTAGCTCGGAGGTTTGCTGCCAATGCCTTGACAGTCTCACTTGCTAGTTAGCCCAAATCCTTCAGTAGAGGAGTTACAACCATGAGAGCTCAGGAAAAACAAATCTACTTACCGTTGCGGAATCTGACCGTATCTGCGGTTAGGTACACTGGAGTACTCAGGCCCAAAAATCCTCGATCTTTCGGGCCTGTGCCTGTCCGTCCCGTACCCAGAAAAAAAATCCAGAACGTTCGGGTTTGTACCAGTCCGTGCCCAAAAATGTACACGCATGCCCTTCAGTGCGCCCACAACCTCCGAATATCTTAATTTTAATTTTTTTAACAACCTGCCTTTCTGGAAAGGCAGAGAAAAACCCGAACAATCGGAAATCATGCAAACAAAAATTGCAGACAGTGCTCCGCCCCCCTAATGCACGCTACCGATACATTTTTTTCCTGGTCCCTTAAGAAGCAAATTCTCGTTGGTGGGGGTAAACCTGCGAGGTCAAAGACCTCCAGGTACTGGCCACCACCTTGGCAAATCTAGCCAAGGACCCGAAGAAGACCCCCAGGGGATAATCCCGAAGAAGACCCCCAGGGGATGGATGCAGTTGCTGCCACATCATCCGTAGATGATCTCTGTAGCCTGAGCATGGATGCTGTCAAGGTCATTTTCTTCACTTTCTTTGCTGAGTACGACCCGTAATCCTGCATGGAATGAAAATGTAGAACGTCTGCCTTAAAAATTGACATCTGATTTTTCATCCTTGGAAAAATATGCAACAACGGTGGCAAAGATTCTAACACCACCCTATTCTCCAAAATATCCCAGGCAATTGTATCATTATCTTTTCTAACTAATTTCAGCGTTTCAGGATAGCACGTAGCAAACAGGTCCACGATTACCATGGCCTTTTGATAGGAAACGGGATCATGGCTGTGGAATGATACCATAATGGAGACATCATTGACCATACGAACTCCGGCTATTAGTCGCCGGTCAGCTCCAAGGGACTGGAGAAAAACGTACTCAGACTTTGCGCAAAGTAAATTAGCGAGGGTCTGAGAGGAGTGCTTTCCCATAGGAATCCCAAACACTTGTCGATATACCCGGTGTTCACATACCGTGTACGTATGGCGCAGTTCGTATGCGAGTATGTCGAGCACTTTGTCGAGGGAGATACCAAGATATCCTACCTCTTTTCTACTGTTCCTAGCCATCTTGCAGCATTTTCCCCCTATGCTTACCTTCACTCCGACCAGTCCTCGATCTTCATGCATACATATCAGCCACTGCACGGATGCGATGATGGCGTCATGGGGGAGCTTGGCAAACATATCCTGTATGTCGTAACTCCTCCCCACAAGTGTATCACCGGACTGCTTCACCTTTGTCACGGCCTTCAACATTGCCGCCATCGATTGATCTGTAGATCTCAGGCTGAAATGGTAAGACACAGGAAGACACAAAAGCATGTATCGAATTGCCCTCCCCAGCCTGGCGCTCACCGTCTGGTGAACTTGCAGCTAAGTGACTCATGGGCATAAGCGCTAAATATATATATATTTGTTTTACTAAAGATTTTTTTGAATGTTTGTGGTGTAAGTAGGAGAGATTTGAGGGACTGTGTGGGGGGGCAGTCTTGGGGGTCAAATGTGGGCCGAAGATGGAGCAACGCTGGCCGGTGCTGGAGCAAGATGGTGCAACTCTGTGACCCAGCCAAATAGGGGCATGAGGCCTGGTAAAGAGATCTGGTTTGTGCTGAATACCACCGGTTGGTGGTGGTCTTAAGGTGGGGGGCATTCATCTGTCTGCATGGGGGGGGGGGGGGGTCCTGCTCGTTCTGGTAGGATAGTACTTGATCCCAAATCTTTCTGGAGTTTCTTGATTGGTTTCACACTTCTCAGGCGAAGCTGGGTAGTGGCCCCAATATTTCAGTTTTATGTACTTTCACAGGGGACGCTGGGCCCGGTTCCCGGCACGTGTTTCTCCCCGCAAATAGATTGGAGCATCGTCCCCCCTTCCCCCCCCCCTCCCAAAAAAAAAAAAAAAAAAAAAAAAAAAAAAAAAAAAAAAAACAAGAGTATGAACGGTGGCATTCTTCCACAACCCTAAAAATCATTCGAACACTGGCAGTGGGATGACAGATGTGCTCTGTGGGAGCTTGGTTGGGTGAGGACACTAGCCACTAAATGCGGTATCATATCCCTCTCGTCCAACCTTGTGGCTTTGGCCGAGTGGTTAAGGCGTGTGCCTGCTAAGTACATGGGTTATACCCGCGAGAGTTCGAATCTCTCAGGCCACGATGTAGAAGAACCGGTTTAAAATGGGTTGTCTTATGGTTTCTTTGTCTTATGGTGCGGATAATTGCTTCCATCAGTACAGATAGCACTGTGAATGATTTTGCAATTATTAGGGCTTCCTATTATGGTGATAGCCACTGCATCAGTGCAGACCACATGGCGAGCATAGGTAACCCATTTAGGTGTACTGGAAGAGAAATCAATGTGGTGGCTTTGGCCGAGTGGTTAAGGCGTGTGCCTGCTAAGTACATGGGTTATACCCGCGAGAGTTCGAATCTCTCAGGCCACGATCAATGGAGAAGACATTTTCAAACTACTCTGCTGTTTTGATGTGTTCTGACGGGGTTAAATTCTCCGCAAGTGGGTCCCACGGCCAAATTAGTGGTCCTCTTCTTTCTCTGTGTTACAATTTGGAATACCGGGGCCATTACCCGGCTTCGGCTGCGAAGAGCAAAGTGCTGTTCTGCAAACTTTCTGAAAACTTAAAAGGTTACCAGCAAAAAAAAAAAACTAAGAGAGGGGGTGCTACTAGAAGGATTACGCAGTCAATACCGAACAAAACCAAACACTTGGTGGTCCTAACACACCTCTGAGCAGTGATTCTTTGTGCAAGTACTCGGGTTCCCTGTGGCTGGGAGAACCCACATGTCCAAGGTTTATCATTTTTGTATTCAGCCTTTACATGGTGGGCATAAGCACAGTACGAGTGGGAATCTTTATAGTGGTGCTCCCTCATGTCAAAGGCCTGAGTGAACGAGGCAGATGGACGATGTGGGAGTGACTCTGTGTTGCTCCAGTTCTTTAGTTGCACACTGTGTCCTCCATGAGAGTAAAGCCTCGCAAAATGTGCTATCTTCTTTCTACATGAAGTACGCTGCTTTTTTTCCGTTCTTTTTTTTTCTAACATCCAATGACATTCAACTAGCCTGGAGGTGATAGGTGAAGCTCCAAGGTTGGAGGCTATGTCTTCAATATCACGCAGCACGCTGTTTTTCTCCCAGACAGCGCCAAACTCCCATAGTGTTTTGTTTTTCTGAAAAATATGCTGAAACGATTTTAATCTCTTAAAGAAAAAGACGAAGAAGAAAATATTTTAGTATCTCTTTTCTTTGGGTTCCTCCCTCCCTCCTCCCCCCCCCCGGCAAATGCACCGCACCGTGGTTGAAACTTGAAAGATCAACAATGCCCAGCTCAGTGGAGGCTGGTGGGAGATTTGGCCCCCGTGCTGTTCAATGTTCGTTGACTTTCATTTGTCAATGGTGGTGCTGAAACGTTTATGAATGGCTAGAGCATCCTCTTCGGGCCCTTCTGGAAACCTGTTGTAACAAAAAGGGGCCCTGTGCCCAAGGCATAAATTATAATCTGGAATACATGGATGATACTGTGTCCGTTACCTGGCTTCGGCTTCAAGGAACAATTCCGTCAGGCCCTAAGATGATGCACCTGACGATCAGACTATACCTAAACTCGATGATATCCTATAAGTCAAAATGATCTACCAATCCCGATGCTCAAGCCTACGCTCAATACTCAAAATTCGAAATAAAAAATACATCTGAAAAAGTTCAAAAGATGCACGTAATAAAAGAGAATCGTTAATTCGACCAGTTGCAGAGCTATTTGATTGACAAGATGATCTCTGGCCGTTGAAATTACACAGCAAATATGCATTCGAATTTTACCGGACTATTCATATTGGATGAACACAGAATGTATAAAGTACTATAAACCTAAGAATGGCGATCAGAAAATCTCTGAGCCACCAAACCCTAGAAAACCCGATACACGTTTTCTCCCTGAAGCCAAACCCGGGTAATGACCCCGGTAATATCTTTGTATTCCATGTTATAATGGTAGCCTTGGGCACTGGGCCATCTTAAAAAAAAAAAAAAAAAAACGGCTTGGAAGTTGGAAATCAAATTCACTCAAATGTACTGCCAAATGCAGGTTGTGAGTCTCGCTGCACGAGCAGAAACTGCAGAGAAAGACGTGGAGGAGCTGTCCCTGAAGTTAGCGTCTATTGAACAGAATCGCCAGACAAGTAGTGGAGGAGACGACATACTTTCCCCCAACAGTGGGGAACACAGATACGAAGTTTATGAATTGCAGCTGGCAGAAATGCAAAGGCAGGTGGGGTGAGCCAAGTTATTGCAACTGGGGCACTGGAACTCGTAACTCATACGTGTATGTGTTTTTTAATGAAATGTCTTAGCTCAGTTACTTTATTTTTATGTGTCATCCCTTTTTTTCCAGAAAAAAAACATCCTTTGTGCAGGGCCCATACTATTCTCGTCTGTATTGTTCCAATTTTAAGGGATGTCCTGGAGGATGGCACATGTATGTTCTAGTCCTACTGGGTATGTTATCCTTGTGACGGGACTATGTTCGGGTTGACCCCATCTTGGAACTTTGTGACCTGAAAACAGGATGAACCTGATCCGCTTTTGAACCATCCTTCCAGAGGCGCCGCTATATGAGGGTTGGCGTTATGGGAGAGCTGAGGACCATGCCAGGGAAACCATCAAAATTGCAGGAGAGCAGCAAAATGTGGCCAGGGGATGGGGAGGCAAAAAAAAAAACATTGAAATCGCTTGAGGAGAGAAAAGGGGGGAGGCTGTGGGTAGGGAAAAACTTGAAATCACGCCAGGAGGGGGGAAGGGAAAGGGGTTGGGCAAATGAATATCCTCACAGAGCGTCCCCGCCCCCCCCCCCCCCCGCGCCCCTCTTTCCCTCTTTTTGCAGGGTCTTTCCCGTCTTTCACAACCTTGTTCCCTATCCCACAGCACCAGGAAAAGAGGAAAGTGGAGACATGAACCTCTTCAACAAGCATGACCTGGATCAGCATGATCAAGCTCATGCCAACCAGGTATCAACTGGTGTGTTCTTTTAAAGGAAAACATGATGATTTTGCTCGGTTAGGACCTCCCATGTCTGCTTGTCCTATTGTTTTCACTTGAGAAGAGAGTAACTGCATGTGACAGACCTGCCGGGATGGCGGTCCGTCAAGATCAAGACGAAGGGATGAGGGAGATGGAGATAGAGATGGAGCTGGTAGGGACAGCGTAGCTCCAACGCATACTCAACACGCACTTACTCCAAACTGTGGACATGAAGAATGAGACTGAAAACAGACTGCAGCTGGGTATACCCCCAGCGGACTGACTGGACAGGACTGGACTGGCCTGGTACCGACAGTGGTACCGAGCAGGACTGGACTGGACTGAATGAGCACACGACTTGTGGGGTCAGGCCACAGCCTGGTCCCACAGGCCGAACAGGCAAAATAGCCAGATAGCCTTGGCTCTAGGCCCGGACAGCCAGAGGCATGCTGCGCGATCCTCAGGTCTGTAGTGGATCGCGAGAGCCATAAACACGCTTCCGCGAAAGCAGCAGAACTCTACGACAATAGAGTTGAGAAATCTAGGATGCGAAGCAAGCTTCATGCGAAATCCATGTGATGCAGCCTCGGCTACATTATTTCAAAGCAAAAGCAATCTAAGGGCAGTCACATACAAAGATGAGATAGATCATCAGTCTCAGGCGGAGGGAGTGGTAGCGAAACAAAAGCAATGAACCTAATAGATAGACCATCAAGGCAGGTAATGCTCGACAAAAGGGTGACACCATGCGGGGTTGACCATGAAAAGGGAGCCTGGAATAAGGTGGAGATATGCTTTACTGAAGGCATGCAATGACCGACACTAGGGTGATGAGCGTAGTGGGTGAGGGAAACAAGCACACAACACACCGACTAGGGAGTAAACCAGATCTGGGAGCAGGGAAGCCAAGACAATGCCACGGCCCCACTGCCTATGTGATACAAAGGGAGAGTCCAACTTAGGGAGAACCAGCTAAGTGAGAACCATCGTACGACACATACAAAGGAATGCACAAGGTAGGGTGGAGGCGTGAAGTAGTCAAGTCCAAAGTAGCTGAAGACGATAAGGTAGTTGAAGTCGTCGAGTCGATGTCAAAGCAGAGCCGCAAAACGTGACATCCAGGAGAAGTTGATGATGGAGTACATGATAGTGTGAGTCAGTGGTAGGAGATAGGTAAGTGATGAGAGTATTAATTGTCGAGACGTTGAGGGCATCGACGAGTGTGTTGTGGACGTGCAGAGGCGTCTACGACCTCAGAGAGAGCGGGATCGTCTTCAACAATCTTCTCAGCGTGAGGAAGAGGAAGAGGGTCAGTCCGTTGAGTACTAGCAGATGTTTCAGCACGACGAGCACGATCATATGCATGGACCAACATTCAGGCGTGCTCCAAGTGCTCGAGGGGCTTCTAAGTAGCTCATCGTCAGGGTAGCCCTTCCTACGCACAAGGTACTCGGTGCGTGGAGGGGTATCGTCGGTAACTCGTCGAGATACGATGTTGGAAACAAACTTCTCGTGATTGTCCACCATGATAGGTGAAGGGCGCGTATAGGGTGTCCGACGAATCGCTCGAACGGTTTGCGGTAAGGATGCAATAAGGAGATGCGGTAAACGTCGTGTATGCAAGTCTGTCGAAGGTAATCAGACAGCTTCAAACAAAAGATGACTGGACTATCGACAATATCCGAATCGATGGCCGGAAGGATGCGGCATGGACCGAAGAAGCGACGCCTGAACTTGCGAAGTGTATCCACCTCGAACTGCAAGTGACATGCGTCAACAAGCACATCGTCACAGACTTCAATGGATGGTGCATTCGTGATCGGTTCGCTCGTGCGGCCATGCGAGTATGGGAGACGACTAGATTCTCGTGTGCGCGTCTTATGATCGCCGCCATGTATGTGATCCAACCGTCGAGCGCAGAACAATGAGCGTTTGGGCGCAACCACGACGGTCGAAGGAAGTCCACAGGCACTCGAGGGTGGTAGCAGAGGTCGCAATCGAATGGCGATATCCTCGTAGCTGGCGAAACAACGTGGTTGTACGGAATCTCCGCGTGGGCTAAGTGTAAGTCCCACTGCTGGTCATCCCTAATAAACTTTCAGAGGATATTACTGAGAGTTATATTGGTGACCTCAGTCTGACCATCCATCTGAGGGTGGTAAGACGGCGAGAAGTGGAGCGGAGATCCGTACACGTCGTGTAGGAGTCGCTAGAATGTGTTGGTAAAGCGCTACTCACACGGTCGGAGATGATGCTCTGAGGTAAGTTGTGATCTCTCACGACTCGTTCAAATACGATGTCGGCGACCTCACGAGGCCTAATGCAATAGCGGGACGAGACAAAACGTGCACGCTTCGTGAAGTGATGGACGACGATCAAGATAGCATCATGACCGTGCGGAATGGGAGGGCGGAGGGAACCATAGTAAATTTCATCGAGATGGACTGCCAACGGCCCTCAGGTATGGGTAACCCATATGAAAGGTGGTTCGCACTGTTCACCTCTTGGCAGGCAGGACACTCCGGGACGTAGCTCCTGACAAATTTCTTGCTCTCTAACCAGACGTATAGGCGGCAAACGTAAGCCAATATGACTAGCAACTGCCTGGTCATGAGTCATGGAACTTGGCTACGACCAAGACACAGGGTTGTCCAGTGGAGGGAACGCAAATACATGGTTTTAGTTGATTTGATCTACCATGCCAATACACGAGACCGTTCTCACTGAGGGAGTATGAAGGAGCGGTCTTGCCACTCTGCAGTGTCCCATGGATGTCGCGATAATCCAAACAGTGGCGGTATTGAGTGCGATATGTGTCGATCACCGACTGATCAATGGTGGTGACCGAGATGGCAGCAAGGTGGATGAGTTCCTTATTGTGGTTAGGACGGTGGGACAAGGCATCAACTACGCGGTACGTTTCACCCTTGATAGGCTGAGTGGTGAAACTGAACTCGGATAAATCATGCCATCAGCTTGCCTATCGAGGGGAAAGCTCAGGCTTCGCGAGAAAAGTCTGGACAACTGAGTTGTTCGTGCGTACCGTGAATGATGCCAGTGCCGGCTAGCATAAACGACTACGAGGACCTCACGTTCATCGACAGTGTAGTTTATCTCGGTAGGCAGTAGTTGACGGAAGTAGAAGCCGATCGGGCGAGCCTCGACAGTCCTATCCTCCGCGATGGTCAGGGAGTAAGTGACGGAAGGAGTGTCATTGGAGGGAAGTGGTGGAAGGATAGGCGTCAGTCGAGAGGCAGTGGCAGCAAGAGGGGGGGAAGGGGTAGGGAACATGGGGATAAGGTGAGTCAGGAGGAGTGAGAAACATATGAGAAAGTACAACTCCTACTGCAAAATCTGACGCATCAGTGGTGACTATGAAGGGACAATAAAAATCGGGGAGGCGAAGAACCGGTGCACAAATCACCGCCTTCTTTAGCGCACGAAAAACATTCTCGCGAAGGGGTGGCCAAAACCATGGTGAGTTCTTCCGAAGGAAGGTGGAGGTAATGACGTAGGAATAGGTGGCTTATCCTCGGATAAAGTTACTGTAGTAACTCTTGAGTCCGATTAAATTGCTTGGCGGATGTGGGAACTGGCCACTCCGCAATAACAGTGATCTTCGCGTCGTCGATATGGAGACCCTGGTCATACACCTGGTGTCCTAAGAAGTCCACTTTGCGTTGGGAAGGAGAGACACTTACTAAGCTTGGCATAGAAGTCATGCTTGCGTAAGCGTTGTAGGACATCACAGAGGTGTCTGAGGTGGTCTTCCAATGTACGACTGCAGACCAAGATGTCGTCCAGGTATACACGAGAACATACTCTTCAAGGATGTCCCTGAAGATATCGTTCATCGCCATCTGGAAGATGGTGGGTGCGTTGGTGAGGCCCAATTGCATCACCGTGAACTCGTAGTGGCTGAAGCGCGATCTAAAGACAGTCTTTGGGTCCTTTGCGGCAACGCGGATCTGGTGGTAACCTCTACGAAGATCGAGCTTCGTAAAGGAGCGGTTGTTTGTCAAACGGTCAAACAACTCATATGCACAAGACATGGGATAACTGTTCCGCGGTAATCAATGCAGAGGTGGAGAGTTCCATCCGCTTTGCGAGCAAAGAGGACGAGTGCACCGCATGGGGAGTTACTGGTTCAATGAAACCAGGTCGAAGGATCTTCTGAAGTTGACTCTCGAGTTCCGTCGCCTCTGGAATCGAGAGTCGGTAGGGTGCGAGATAGTGGACAAGATAGTCAAG